TGAAATTTTATTGTAAACTGAGATTACTATCATTTATAATTTTAGTATTTAAATAATTTAGGAATAATTCATATTATGATTTATTAAGGTAAAGATCATAATTAAGATTTCAATTTTACTGCTAAAGTTATTGTTTACTAATTAAGTTTTCTGATAATTCAATCTGCATTCAAAGTCACAATCATAATCAACGCCAATTTCTAAATTTCTATCAGTGCAATATTCAGGAATTGATTCTAATAACTTATGAGATCCAATTTATTTTTACAAATACAATCTTTTCATTATAATCAACAAGTCTTATATATATAATAACTTTGACTAAGAAAAAATTTATTGTTAATTTGTCAATTATTAAAATTAAATTCTATTAGACTATCGCATTCTACTTCTTATTTTTTGATTAATCCATCTCCACATATTGATAAATTTCTATAATTGTCAAAGGTAAGTTCATTATAAAATTTTAGGCATTTACCATAATAACAGATTGTACATATTTATTACTTAACACAATCATAATAGTAAATTAATTTACAATCTGAATTACCATCATAGTTGTTAAGGTTATTTTTATCGATATCAATGATCTATATTTCATTTAAGTTATTAATATATTTAATATTTAAAATAATATTTAAAATTTTATCTAATTGATTTAATAAATTAATTATGTAAATAAAATTACAATGTTTGCTAAATTTCTTATATTTCTCTAAATTCTGTAATATTACTATCTCAATAGAATTAAAAATTAAGTGATCCTCAAGATAAATCTTTATTTTTTAACAATAAAAAAATAATTTTTTTTGCTTGTTTGAGCCTAGCAAAATTAAAATTTAACTTTACTTAAATTATATGGGTAATAATAAAATAGTGTATGAATATTAATATTAATATTTTGAATTGATTCTAACTTCATCAATTTATATAACTAAGTACCAGAATCATTTAACAATAGGAATGACAATAAGCTTTATATTTGAAAAGCATCCTTTCTAAAGATTAAAGTTTTATTTAAACCCTAAAGAAGAATAGATTAATTTATTATAAAAGGAATTGACTTTGAAATTTGATTCATTCAAAAATTTGCAATACTATTATCAAATAATTAAAATAGCTTTCAAAAGTATCCATATATATTTTTGGATATTTGGATTATTGGGAATGTCTATTACATTAAATAAGATATCCTTTCTTTATAGACCTATGGATTTTTATAGATTAGCTATTTAAGCAACAACTATCAATTTTCATATTTTTTTTGTTATCATAAACGCTAGAAAATTAAAATAAAGTTTTAAAATTTGAAAATTAGATAATCGACTCTCTCTTATTTACATATTTATATATTCTTTAGTATAAAGATTCTTTTATTAATTCAAAAATATATACTATCATAATTAAGGTATCAGTGAGAAATCAAAAAATTTTAATAATATTTCTATTTGAAAGATTAGTCAATATTATTTAAAACAAGAATGATATGTTTTTAATATTAAATAAAATAAAGAAATTCTAGACTAAATTAATTTGCAAATTTTCATATTAAGTTACATTAACAGTAATTTGTAAAAAGTATATCAAATACTCCAATTTTGAACCATGAAGTAAAAACTTTTATTTTGGAAGTATAAGTAATAATATTTTCCCTTTTTTAAGTTGTCCTTCAGGTATGTCTTTAAAGGCCTACTTATTTAAGAGGATCATTTCAAAAATAAATCTTTTTGAAAGATATTGTCTAAATATAATCGACTATGATATATTTTCTAGTTTATAAAAAATAAATTAATACTCTAAAATGATAAGTTTCCCATCTCAAATGGATGTAGTGCAATAAATGATTGTGATCAAAAATAAATAAGATTAAAAGAAATGATATTTAAATTGATGATCAAATAGTTTATTTAGAAATAGAAGAATTATATCAAATTTAAGAATAGATGGATGAAACTGTTAATTTTATATTCACCTTTATCATCATTAATAATAATGATATTTTCCAAACAGCTTCTATTATATAAATTATTTATTTAATTTATCGCGAAGTTTTGGAATTATTTTCAAAAATAAGAGAAATCTAACAATTTTAGTTAACTCAATTCGACATATTGAGTAAAAATCCACTTTTATCTATGAATTACAACTTTTGGAATGGATCACTCTAAAATTTTAAGGTACTTAGATAAGTTTATAATTATAATTCTGATAAATCTATTAAACTATTCAAATTGAAAAAAGCAAGAAAAATATATTATAGAATGCATAATTACCGATTCAGCTTTTATCTGTACCATAAACTTACGAATCTAATTGATGATTAAAAAAGTACGAAAATTTATTAGTTCTAAAATAAAAAAAATACATATAAACAACAGTTTATTGTAAATACCTC